TATTATTATTATTATTATTATTATTATTATTATTATTATTATTATTAATTATTATTATTAATTATTATTATTATTATTATTATTATTATTATTATTAGGGAAACTTATGTTTTATTGTTTTACTGCTTTTTCTTATGTTTTTTCATTATTTGTTTCCCTCTTTTTGATGTCCAGAGTCACGCATATTAGAGGGACAGTGACATAAATTTACCAAATAAGTAAACAAGCACACCACCCAACTTTAAGCCGATTCTTACAAAAGCAGCAAAATATTAAATTGGGAACCGGATCCTGTGACAAACCCAAAGGACTATTTTCCTCCCACATTCACACCAACAACAGCTCCATACTCGAGATTAGGGTCTTCTTCACGTACTTTTCTTCTAACGTGACGTATCTACCAGCAATGCCCCTCCAGATTTTACATGTCGCTGTATAAATGGGGAAATGTTGTACAACAGGACACAAGTTTGGCATCAGGACTCAAACGCTGACGAAGTAAAGTAGCAAAGCATTTCAGCCTTGCTACTTTAACAGAACTAAAAGCAGCTACCTGGGGGGGGGGGGGGGGGGGATCAAACTTCCCCAGCCCAACTGAGTGAGACTGCTGAACTTACACAATTTAAAAATTTCAGGCAATCTCTGTAGATGTCAACAAACCCAACAGGTTTTTAACACATTACAATTGTTAATTGACGAAATTATTGGAATCTGGCTCGTGTTTAACTCGCACCTGCGTAATTCCACTCCTCCATCGATCTAGACATTCCGCAGTCCTGATGAAGTAAGATGCGCCTCATGAATGCTTAATAACATTTGCTAATCCGAAAAGTTGCAACCAGATTCCCAGAGATTTCACAAACCCAGGCGTGGCCCTGGGAATCGTTTAAACAACTTTAGGCCAGACTGCATTGCAAGCAGATTAACGGCCAACACCGGTGAGCATCCTCTCCATCTGGCAGTGATGGATTCTCACACAGATCTGCAGACCTTAAGCTTTTCCATCATAATTCTTGCTTTCTCAGACAGAACCATATTTCGGCTTCCCCGCTTCCCTCCCACTGGAGTTTTAAAAGGCCGGAATCCTCCACACATTTTGCCCTTGACATTGGGTGGAGGATGCACTCAGCCCAACCTCTTCTGTTCCCAAGGCCCAAGCATCCTCCGTCATTTGATTTCCTTGTTCAATTAAGAACAAAACTCATGCTTCCAATTTAAGAAAGAGACAAACAAACACTCTTCTGCATGAATGTTAAGTTCAAAAATGGCAAAGCGAAAAGCATCCAGCTCCACTTACTTTGACCATCTCTTTGTACTTTTCCTTTAAATCTTGATAAACCTGGCTGTATCTAGCTACAGAAATCAGAGAAAGCGTTCTCTTAAACTCATTTTTCGTGATCTCTGTGGACCATTTAACCAGCTTAGAAATCAATTTGTTCCCTAGCCACTCTGCTTTGGGATATACAATTCCATCAGGAACATATTTTTCTGGATTCAGGAGCACTGACACAGTCCTACAAACAGACAAAAAAAAATAAGGTTCAGTCTCAATCAGTAGGAGACCACTTTAATTTAATTGTGCCTCTGGCCAATCGAGCAAGATTCCACTTTTATTGTACACTAGCATGTAGCAAAAAGGGACAATATTTTCTTTCTCAAATAGAGGAATTGGAGGCAGAGGTATGCAGCCCATGGCCTCCCTCGCCTGCAGCATTCTCAGAAAGTAGCACTAACAATTGCAAGTGAGATTTTCTTGCTCAAGAAAAATCAGGTAACTCGTTCATCACCGTGGGGTAATGGATTGGCAGTTCGCTGACAACACTCAATTACATAACTCCACCCTGGCAAATTGAGCAATTAAGCCATGAACAGCTTATCTTGGCATCTGGAATGAGGATCTGGGAGGTGAACAACAGGCTTCAGCTGAACCTGAGCATCTCAGATTTTTGGGGGGGGGGGCGGGGGGGGCGGGGGGGGGACACCAGTTCCAGGACTATCCCATCCTTGCCGCTGGATGGAGTTACTCTCTCTCCCAGACAGACCCGGTGTGCAATCTTGGGCTCCTCCTCCTAGACATTCATGACTCCTGCTGAATAGGCAGTGGGCAGTGATGGCTAAGAGGGCCTTTGCATAGCTGCTTTGTGTGCCAGCTGAGCCCCTTCTGCCTGCCTACAGTCACCTCCAGACTGAACGACTGCAATGGGCTGTATATAGGGCTGCCCCTTGAAGGCTATCCAGAAGATTCAGCAGGACAGAAGGCAGAGGGTGCAGGCAGTTCCTTGTGCTCCTAGAACAGCACACGCAACAACTCTGCTCTGCAAACTGCATTAGTGGCAGATTACATCCGAGTCCAGCTCACACAGACCGTATTGCCAAAATCCAAATCATATCAAACTTGAGGCCAGTGACTCTCAAGCCAGATGCAACGTGCTAAATTTAGACCTTAATGAAAAAGATGCCTTATCTCAGGGGTGCCAAACTCGCGGTGTCATGTGACGTATCGCGACTTTCCCCCCCTTTGCTAAACCAGGCGTGGGCAGCGTGTGACGCATCCGGCCCGCAGGCCGTGAGTTTGACACCCCTGCCATATAAAATAAAATCTGACAAGACTGAACAACACCAACAGAAACAGAGAACCACCATTCCCTTGAACGCATCCGTAGTGTGACGAAAGGATTCAAAGGCAGCAGCGTCTTCCGAGCACCCACCATTCATCGTCCTGCATGTGCCGGAGCCAAATTTGATAAATGTTGCCGACCTTCACCTTGTATTGGCCTTGGCAGGTCTCTTCCAAAGGCAGAAAGGTCATCCTCCCATTAAGGACATCTGTAAAGAGTGGCAAATGGTTCAGTCCCATTCTCGATAGGACACACGTGTTTTAGGAAAGGGCAAAAAGGATGTTGCATAGAAGCTCAGGATCGAATCTACTGAGCAAATGGCCTGGCAGGATGGAATCATGGGGGGAGGGGGGAGAGCAGACCAGACTAAGGAGGGGAGAATATACCCCCCCCCCCGAGGGAAGGGGGGGCTGGTGGATCCTTATCTCTCTCTGAGCTTGTTTCCTTGCAGATGTTTCAGGACCCAACATCAGTGCTGGGTTACACACACACACACCCTGCCTCCCTTCTGGCATCTAAGTGGTGACCTTCTCCACTTAGGTAATGAAAGGCCAGGAAAGCAGCCCCCAGGGCTCCCCTAGCCCTCCTCCCCCCCAACCCCTTCTTCCTTCTAGCACCCGTGGGGTTATATCCACAAGCGCGGCCCTCCACTTACGACCACAACGGAGCCCAAGGTTTATGTTGCTAAGTGAGAAATTGGCTAAGCGGGTTTTGCCCCATTTCACCACCTTTCTTGCCACCGTTGTTAAGTGAACCGCCTCAGCCATTACATGAGTAACCCGGTTGCTAAGCGGGTTACGTGAGTAACCAGGTTGCTAAGCTTGCGGTGCCTCTCCAGGGGCACCGCAAGCCCTCACAAACGGGGGACAGCACCCGAACATGCGTCCCGTGGGGGGGCTGCTGCTGCGACGACGGTCATTAAGCGTGAAAGGCCCCCCCCCCCGTCACTTTTTCCACGGCCGTTGTAACTTCGGTCCCTAAGTGAAGCGTTGTAACGGGAGGGCTGCCTGCCTGCAGCTGGGCCCTGAACCGCCTGCCAGGAAGGCGGCGCCAAGCTCGGGGAGCAGCCGGGACCCCGCAGCCCTCCCTCCTCCTCCGGGCACTGGGGAGGGGTCCCACGGGGCCGCCCCCGGCCCCTCTTCCCCAGCCGGGCTCCCGAAGGGCGGCCTCCGGGGAGAGGGACGGGCGCCGGGAGAGGGAGGCGGCCTCCCAGCCATGAAGCCGACGCCCCCGGGGGACGGGCCTGCTCCCTCCCGGCTCCCCGCCCGGAGGGGGCATCATAAACCCGGGCGGGCGGGCGGGCGGCCTCCCTTCCGCGCTCGCAGTCGCCCACACCGCAGCCATGCCAGGCAAGGGAAGGGGACGGGCAAGGGAGACCCACCTCGCGCCACCAGCTCCGGGGCGGGGGGCGGCGGCGGCGGGGGGCGGCGGGGCAGCAGGCGGCGCAGCACCAGCTCCACCGGCCCCCACAGGCCCAGCGCCTGGCCCTCCGCGCCTGCGCAGAAGGCCCCCCAGGCCCGCTCCGCCGCGCCCGCCGCCCCGCCGCCCGCTCGGGGGACGCGCAGGGAGGGCTCCGCGCAGGCGCCGCTCAGCCGCTTGTTGGCCACCTGCGGCCGCTCCAGCCACACGGCCGCCGCCGCCCAGAAGCCGTCGGGCAGCCGCCCCGCAGGATCCCGCAGCGCCGCCTCGCCCACCGCCTCCATAGATAATCCCCGCCGCTTCCGGGATCGTTCCGCCGACGCCTGCGCAGTGGCGCTTGCCGGGGGAGGAGCGGCCGGAAGGGACGGCGGCCGGGCAGGGACGCTCCTAGCCGCTTCTCCGCGCAGCCGAGAGAGTCGGGGTTCTTGCCGCCGACCCGCGGCGGAGGCGGCAGGGCCCCCTCGAGGCCGTCTGGCCGAGCCCCCAGAGGCTGTCCGTGGAGGCCTCGACCCGCGGCTGCCTTTCCGCAGGTGCAGCGGGGGGGGGCTCCTTGGGCGTGGGGGGGGAGATCAGGAGCGTCCCGGGGTTCAGGGCAGCTGGAGAGGTGGTGGCCCCCTCCCCTCAAACCCTCCCCCCCCGAGGAGCCCCGGCCGCCCCGTGACGCCCCCTCCTCCTCCTCCTCCCTCTCAGGTCGCTTCCCAGCTTCGGCCTTCCGCCTCAGGATGGGTGCCTCGGGTGGGGAAGCGGCAGCGCCCAGCAGGCCCCCGGAGCCCCCGCTGCTCCCGGACCTGCCCCAGGGGCCCCTGGGCGCCTACCGGAAGAAGGCGTCCTTCGCCTGGAAGGAGATGGCCCTCTTCGTGGAGGAGGAGGACCTGGTCCGCTTCAAGGTGAGGCTCCCCTGGAAGCGCCCCCCCCGGGCCCGTCCGTCCCGGGCCCCCCACCGCGAGGGGGCCAGGAGTTCCGTCCGTCCTGCTCTTTGGGCTCCTCTCTAGATGGGGCCGTTTCTTCCGGGAGCTCTTGACGCCCCGTAATGTTGGGTTCCGTTTGGCTGGGTCGGTTTTCTTCTTCCTCTTGATCCAGGGGGTCGTTTTTGGGCAGCCTCTTGGGTCTCCCGCTTGGACTCCAGGGTCCCTTCCAAGGCTATTCTGCTTGTAGTGCTAAGGGCTGGGTTTTTTATCTAGAGTTTTAAAAAGGAGATGAAAACTAATGTCAGGAAAAGAACATAAGAAAGAAATCAAATAAGAATGATAAAAGTGCAAAAAAGGAAGGAAGAAAGGAAAGAAAGAAAAAGGAAAGAAAGAAAGAGAAAGAAAGAAAGAAAGAAAGAGATACACAAAGGTATATAAGCCATACTGATCAGCTAATAAAAGTTCTGAATTTAGTTAGGGCTTTATATACAAAAAAAGCTTGCTTTTTTGTGTGTTTTAATATTTATTTTATTTTTGGTGTTTATTTTGCTGAAATAAATTTTCCCCCTGAATCGTAGCAGGAGTATATCCAGAGTTGCTCATTGCAGTAGCGTTTCCCAGAAACCGAAGAGAATGTTTGTAATGCAGGGTTGAATTGTGGAGCTCTTAGTTGTTTGCTTGCAGATTTTTTGCTACCCAGCAAAACAATATCATTGGCACAAGTGGTTGTGGTCTTTGCTGCCTCTTTTTTTGGGTTGGGTCACAAAATGTCTGCAAGGAAACCACTCAGCTCAGAGTGCCCCAAGAACGCTGCCTTTCCAGAAACGTTGGTGATGAGAAGACTTCATACACGTACTCTCTGTCTGTCTGTCTCTCTCTCTCATACACACACACACACGGGGGGGGGGGGGACTAAAAAAGGGAAAGGCATGCAATATTTTGTTGCCAAATACAAGTTTTTAAGAGCCCGGAAGTTGCTGTGACATGAATTCTTCCTTCGAGGAGCATTCAAAGTATCCTCATCCTTCTTTTTAGCCCTAAGAGCTCCCAAACCTTTAGTTTTACAGTCCCAAAGACATGACATGCGAGCAGGAGGAAGGAGAAGGAGAAAAATGCATTCTGGGTCTTTTGGTTCATGTTCTCTTACATTGTCTTACTGCCAGAAACGGCTTAAGAATGTATGTATTGCTGACAGCTTGGAAATGACTGAAGCCTTGACTGAATTTTTTGTTGTTCATGAAGCACAAAATATTCTCGGCCCTTGAAAATGACCCTCTCTTTGCTCGTGTCCCCGGAGAAGAGTTGCCGCTTGAGAGGTACCGGGAGCTGACCTTCCTGCGCTGTCGGAAGCTTTTTGAATACGATTTTCTCATCTTGGAGGAGATTCTTGCAAACCCCCTGAAAGTGGTTGTTCTGATCAGCTGCCTGGGGATGTACGACTGGTCCCTGGGAACCAAGTACTTGCTCAACTACCAGGTAGGTGCCATTGCTCTCCCTGCATTGACACGCCGAAGCTGCGTGATCAGGAGCCAGAGTTCATTTCATTCCCTCCTTACCTTTGCTGTGAAAAGCTATTTGGTCCTAATATTCCCCCCCCCCCTTTTTTAATGTACAGTTTTACTATTTGCTTTATCTGTTTAATGTTTCTTAATAAAATGGTATTGTGTTGTGGCCCCGATTCCTGAGCCTATGCTGTCAGAGGAAGAGGACTTGGAAGATGAGGAGGAGGAACTGGGAATGCCTTCCTCCCCAGGACCTTCCTCTCTGGCAATGCCTTCCTCCCTGATAATGCCTCAGGTTTCATCAGACAACCGAGAGGAACAACCTGAGATTAATCAGGAGGAGGAGGGCATATCGGAGCAGCCCCTGACAGGGAGTCAAGAGGAAGAGTGTTGGCTTGATCCTAAGCAGCGTCGTAGGGAGAAACGTGAGCAGCAACGTAGGAGGCGTGGGAGGGTCAGAGAGTGAGCTGAGTCATTGAGCCACACCCCACAGGGGGATAAAAGTGGGTGTGCTGTCGGCTGGAACTTTGTACGGGACAAAGTTTAATCTTACTTCAGATTTTCTTCGTGAATGATTTTTGTGGACTGCCTTGTAATTTTCTGTGAGTAGATTTTTATTTGTTATCAGTTCAGACTTGGCAGGCAGAGGGTGTTGGAATGCCAAGGATATTATCAGTTCCAAAGAATTAACTCTGTGAAGTCCGAGCCAGCTTGCCTGCCTGTGTTTGTGTGAGTTTGTATTCTTTCATCTTTTGGGAAAGAAGAAAAGTGAGACAGAACAGCGTTGTATAAATAAAATTGTGATAAAATGAAAAAAAGCTATCTTGCCTGGAAGAATAGTTTAAGCATTTTCCACTTGAGCGGTGAATAGTGAAACCTCATTACACGTAAACTTTGCTGAACATTTGATGGTTCTTAATTGGTTTGTTTTTAGTTCACCGGCTTCTGTTAATGCCATAGGTGTTCAAGGACAACATTGAGAGTTCCGGATCTGAAAGACATGCAAAATTCATTGAACAAGTTGAAAGCATGGAGGTACTGCTTCTCTATTGTTTGAACCTTGAAGTTGCTGACTTTGCTTTTACAAAACTTCATGAAAAATAATAATAGGGATCTTCTCCCAAATAGGCAGCCACTCCCTTTTTCAACTTTGATCCTGTGCGTGCTGTAGCTTTTCTAGTTGCCCAGGAATTGCCCAAAGGGCAGAGAAGATGCCGCTTGCAACACTGCCGCCCAAGCTCTCCCAATCCTTGCGCCTTGGGAGCCCTTCCTTGCCCCACCCCCATAGAGGCCTCGCCGGGAAGGGATCTGCTGGGCCTTGGACCCCTGCTCTTAGCCCCGAGGCTCAGGCCCAGCGCGGAGGGGGACCAGGGGGCAACGGTGCTTTGGTGGGGCTGCCTTCCCACTCTCAAGGTCTCTTTTTTGTATCTCTCTTGGCCACAGATATTTGGATGCTTTGCACTCACCGAACTCAGCCACGGCAGCAACACCAAGAACATCCAGACAGTTGCCAGATACGACCCGGAGACGCAGGTCAGGCGGACAACGGGCAGCAACGGCGGCTTCTAGTCCGCAGTGGGATCCCACCTGTTCCATTACCGCTTCAGGGATCACGCACGCGCAGCTTCCCCCACACCAGCTGAGGCCCTGCCACGCCAATCAGCCGAGAGGAGAAAAGCTCGGGGGCCAGTCCTGCGCTTTTCTCTTCTTTTTCCTCTCAGCTGATCTTCTGAGGCTTTTTTCCCTACCAGTTTGGCCAAACCAGTAAGAATGTTTGCTATCGGTTCAGGTGAACCGGGCCAAAGCGGTAGCATGCCACCACTGCTTCTAGTCCGTAGCCTTCAGTTCCAGTAAAATGATAGCATTGGATGTGGAAACTGTGTTTAAATGGACTCGTTGGCTAACGGGGGGTCAGTTTTTCCACCAGAATCTGTCAAGGCGTTTAACTGGGGCCTTGCAAGCAACTCAGATTGCTCCATTTAACTCATGGAGGTGACTTCGCTGTGCTGGAAGGATTTAGAGGCAGGCTTTGCTGGCTCACAAGGCTGCCGGTTGTGAGGTTTCCTGTAGAAATAGCTCCCGTTTCTGCCTAAACATCCTAGGATCAAATGCATGTAACGACTACAGTTGAGGCCAAAATCTTTCTTGCTAAGTGAGACAGTTGCTAAGTGAATCACTGGAGACGTTAAATTAGTCAGACGGTTCTTAAGTGAATCCAGCTTCCCCAGTCACGTGACACCCCCCCCCCCCCCCGGATACTGCGACCGTCATAACTAGGAGTCAGTTGCCAAGCGCCTGAGGGTTCCTCCTGGGGCAGCGGCCTGAAGTGTGACAACCAGGCGGGAGTCTCCTTTCCCGGGGACAACGCAACGGTCCCTGCACAGCCTCTGGGGGGCCAGGAAGGAGTGCAGGGAGAGCCAGGCGAGCCCTTCCATTCCCCCCACGTGATGTGGAACCTCTCTTCCCGGCCGTGCAGGAGTTCGTTCTACACTCGCCTGACTTCGAGGCTGCCAAGTTCTGGGTTGGCAACATGGGGAAGAACGCCACGCACGCGGTGGTCTACGCCCAGCTGCACACGCCAGATGGCCAGCGCCAGGGGCTGCATTCCTTCGTGGTGCAGGTGAGGGCCGTGGCCTGGCTTCCCGGGGCTTGGCACAAGCAGGGCTGCCTTTCCTTCGTGCCGGGATGGACGATACCGTCAGCACAGCCATCGGGCCCGGTTTTCAGGCACCCTTACGGGGAGAGGCTAGGTTTGAAGTGCTGCGGGTTTCTTTGGGCCTTCAGCTGGGTGGAGAGAGTCCAGAGGTGGGTTTGCCACTGCCACCTTCTCCTCCCCCCAAGGGCTGAGTGGGGGTCACTGGCCCAAGATTGCCAACCGTGCCTTTCATGCTTAAAGCAGGACTAGAACTCATGGATCTCTCTAGCCTGGTGCTGAACCATGACTTGAGGCCAACCCTTGAGGCCACTCTTATTTATTTATTTTATTTATTTATTTATTTGATTTGCCAATTGTTTACAAGATAATAAGTATAAGTGTATACATAGTTGTGAATACATGAAATGGGTACATATAAGAAAAATAAAAGAAGAATAAGAGAAACAATAGGACAGGGACGGTAGGCACGTTGGTGCGCTTATGCACGCCCCCTACAGACCTCTTAGGAAAGGGGTGAGGTCAATAGTAGACAGTCTAAGGTTAAAGTTTTTGGGGTTTGGGGAAGAAACTACAGAGTCGGGTAGAGTATTCCAGACATTGACCACTCTATTGCTGAAGTCGTATTTCCTGCAATCAAGTTTGGTGCGGTTAACTTTGAGTTTGTATCTATTGTGTGCTCTTGTGTTGTTATGGTTGAAGCTGAAGTATTCATTGACAGGTAGGACATTGCAATGTATGATTTTATATACCATGCTTAAATCAGACCGAAGACGGCATAATTCAAGGTTTTCTAGTTCTAGAATTTCAAGTCTGGTGGCATAAGGTATTCTACAACGAGTAGAGGAGTGGAGAACTCTTCTTGTGAAATATTTCTGGACTTTCTCAATTGTGCTAATATCAGATACGTAATGTGGGTTCCAGACTGATGAACTGTATTCGAGTATTGGTCTAGCAAATGTTTTGTATGCTCTGGTTAATAGTGTGATATTACCAGAGAAAAAGCTACGTAGGATTAGGTTAACAACTCTTAATGCCTTTTTGGCTATGTAGTTGCAGTGGGTTCTAGCACTTAGATCATTAGAGGTGAGTATTCCAAGGTCCTTTACAGAGCTTGGGTCATCAACAAGATCTTGACTATTCAGCTTGTATTTTATTTTCTGATTTTTTTTTGCCAATATGTAAGACAGAGCATTTATTTGTTGAAATTTGAAGTTGCCATTTGTTTGACCATTCTGATACATAGTCAAGATCTTTTTGTAGGGTAGCAGTATTGTCTGTGGTATTGAACAGCTTTACATCATCAGCGAAGAGAACGCAATTGCTCTTAATATGATCACAGAGGTCATTTATGTAGAGTATGAAGAGAGTTGGTCCTAGAACACTGCCTTGGGGGACACCACTATTGACAGGTACTGAATTTGATAGGACGCTCCCAATTTTGACCATTTGTTGTCTGTTTGACAGGAATTTTTCTATCCAGTTATTCAGTTGTCCAGAGATACCATAGGATTTTATGGAACACCATGTCCAGTTTTGGTCAACACAATGTAAAAAAGGGGTTGAGGCTCTAGAAAGAGGGCAGAGAAGAGCAACCAGGATGATTTTAGGGGACTGGAGGCTCAAACATTACTATCAACGGTTGCAGGAACTGGGCCTGGCTAGTCTAGGGAAGAGAAGGACCAGGGAGACAGGAGAGCAGTCTTCCAAGATTTGAGGGGCTGCCCCAGAGAGGAGGAAGGGGTCAAGCTATTTTCTAAAGCGCCTGTAGGCCAGACAAGGAATAATGGATTAAAACTGATCCAGGAGAGATCCAACCTGGAAATAAGGAGGAATTTCTGGACAGGGAGAGCAATTGAACAGAGGAAAGTCTTCCCTCCAGAAATTGTGGGTGCTGCGGCCCTGGAGGTTTTGAAGGAGAGATTGGACAGCCATTTATCTGGAATGGTATAAGATTCCTTGCCTGAGCAGGGGTTGGTCTAGAATAGGGGTCGCCACCCTTTTGGACCACCAAACTCATCATTTTAATTCCCAGAGACCACTAACCAGTTCTTTGGGCGTGGCCTAATTTGTGGGTGTGACTTGGTGGTCACGTGACTGGCTGGGCATGGCTTGTATGTAAATATTATAAATATTTATATAAACATTGAATTTTTTATAAAGATAGAGCAACTTTTACCCCAAAGCAGGCAAAGCAGGCAGGCAGATCGAGTTGCTCACAGAATCACAGATTCCTTCAGAGATCTATCTATCTGCCATTGGCTAGCTCAGCCTGTCACATAAAATTTGCTAGCAAGCAAACGCACAAACTTAACTCACAACACAACATGTATGTAAATATTGAATTTTTTTATGAAAAAAAAGATCAACTTTTACCCAAAATCAGGCAAAGGCAGATTGAGTTGCTCACAGAATCATTCAGTCTATTCAATCTATCTGCCATCGGCTAGCTCAGTCTCTCAAATTTGCTTGCCATGAATCTGCACTGAATAACTGAACCTTCAGTCCTAAGAGAGGTTCGGCTGTGCTTAAAAGCAGAGCTGAAGATCTAAAGACTAGCTAGAAAGCTAGAAATCCAACCATTTCCTGCTTCCTAGCTAATCTAAATCTCCCGGCACAGCAAAACAGCTGATGGTTGGAAAAATAGCAATTTAGCAGGCAACTTTGCCAGGTAAGGAGTGAGTGGGCGGGGAGGGTTCCCGCGGGCCATGTGGGCGGCGCTGCCTTGTGTTTCTGCACAGCCTGGATTAATTGCTTTGGGGGTGGGTGCTCTGGGGGTGAGATTTCTCTGCGGCCCACCAAAATTTTCTCACAGCCCAGCAGTGGGCCCACCGGTTGGCGACCGCTGGTCTAGGAGACCTCCAAGGTCCCTGCCCACTCGGTTCTCTTCTGCTGTGATTAGACCATGCAAAACGTGGCATGTTTTTCATTGCTTGTGATCAAACCCAGCCTCAGTCATCCCTGAAGCCAAGGAGAGCCAGGGTGGTGAGGTGTTGTCCTAGGCCCAGGGAGACCCAGGTGTGCTGGGTGGTCCACCTATAATTTTAGGTCTTATGGCCACTCACTGGTGCAGGATTCCAGGCAGCTCGGATCCCGCCAGGCTCACGTTCACCCCCGACCAAGAAAGTGAACTGGGGGACTGGTGTCAGCAGGGATACCGCGTAGCCCTGGTGGAAGTGTCCCCGTCCCCCCTGGGGAGCCAGAGTCCCAGGCAGTGGTGGCCCCAGGGCCCCTTCCCAACGTCTTCTTTTCCTTGGTTCAAAGCCCCAGGGAACTGCCTCAATCCCTCCGCAGGGCTCAGCCGACTTCCCTGGGCAACCTTTCTTGGCTGATTGCCTGACTTGGAGGCAAACCTCAACAAAAGATGCCCAGGGAGATTCTCAGTCATCCAGCTCCTGGTTGTCCCAAAGGTGCTTTTCCCAGAACTGAGGAAGCTTTTTGCATGAGAAATGGTGAAAGGTTTCCAAAGATCAAAAGGAAAATGCAGTTGCCTCTTGGACAAAGCACCTTTGTGATGATAACGATAGCAGCAAAACGTAGCCCTGCAGCCCCATCGTCTAAGCCAGAGGAACCGGTCTCTTGGTTTCAATTTCCCATTCTTCTGTGCTTACAGATCCGAGACCCAAAGACGCTGCTTCCAATGCCAGGTGTGATGGTTGGTGACATAGGCAGGAAACTTGGACAGAATGGCTTGGATAATGGGTGAGTGCCTGTCAGGTTCCGTCACACGACCGAAAGGAAGCCCAACAGCCACCACAGGGTCTGCTGTGATAAGCAGTTCCTCTCCCTCTGGAGTGCATGCCGACACTTAACTGACCAGCTGCCAGACCATGCAAGCAGAGATCACAGCCAGGGCTAGTCACTTAGCTCTCCCCACCACCTTTATACACCCGATGTGCCCTGCCCCAATTACCCCGGCACGGCCCAACCAATTATCCCGGCACACCGCGACCGGCAGGCACAACCTCACATAGTCTCTTCCCAAGAGGAGCTCACCCCACAGCGGTCGGTCCTATGCGATTTCCCTCTCAGCTCTTCTGCCGTCGCTTGAGTTACGCCTGCCGGTTCACGGCAGCTAAAGGATCGGGAGTCACAGGGTTTTGTAGCAATGTCCACGGCTGCCCGCCCCCCCCGCCCCCAAATGGCAGCCCACGGATGGCGTTGGGCTGACAGTATCTTTCAGGCGCATGCAACCTGTATTTCCACCCAGGGTGATGGTTAAGGCTAAGGCACCAGGTTAGGAACTGGGAGAGTCGGCGTTCTAGTCCCATGGTGGGCACAGAGCCACCTGGGTGATCTTGGGCCAGTCCCTCCTTTTCAGGGCAGGCCACTCTCAAAATCTTGCCAAGAAAATAGGAAGGGTTTCTCTAGTCAGTCAAGACTGACTCAAAGGCACCCCAGAAATGAATAACTTCAGAAATGTCAGGGTCCCAAGGCCTTCTGGAGGCAACAGCATTCCAGGATACTTCTAAATGTCTAAATAAATAGAAGGATCCTTTTTTTAAAGCCCGTTAGATTTTCCTCTCCCATGGCCTGCCACAGCTTAGACATTTAGGAAAAGAAAGACCCTCGGCTCCCTCGATGATTGATTGAAGGGAGAGGTTCTTTTAATAAAGCAAAGCTGGATCCGACCATTCCTGCGCAAAGGTCACACCTTTTCCCCTCCCCTGCCCTCCTGCTTTGACCAATCCATCGGTGTCCAATAGGATGCCTTTCTGATGTTTTGGGAACGGCTTGGATACTTGGCACCTCTCGATGGAGTGTTGCGTCCTGTTCCCAAGCCATCTGGTCCTTGGCGGCTGGTTCACTCCAGGTTGGCACGTCTGCTTTCTCGTTCCCAGGCCGGGACTTTACTTCGCCTGATTCCTCTCCTCTGCCCCAGTCTGGATGGGGAAGGCCAGTCCCTGGGTGGGAGACCTGCAGGGACCTTGAGGCGCTGGGCGAGGCTGCCGCTTAAAATCCTTCCCGCAGGAAGGGCAGCCAGGCCAGCTGCTCCCAGGACATCTGCCCCTGGGGGGAGGGAGGGAGGGAGGGAGGGGGTGTCCTGTGCCAAGGCGCAGCGGGGGCTGCCAGGTCTCCCTGCTTTGGCTGGAAGAAGGGGGGGTCCAAACGTGCTCCGTGGCGAGTGGCTGTTCTGTGCTGAGGCCGGGAGGCCCCCCCCCCCACTTTAGCCCTCCTCAGGCATGATATTCTTCCGATTAAAATCGGAATTCCGATTTTTTGGGGAATCGCCCCCCCTTTCCCCCCCACCCCTTCTTCTCCTCCTTCCCCTCCCCTCGGAGGCCCCGAGTCAGGAGTTGCTGGCGCGGCTCCGCGCGGCTCCAGTCCCGCGTTGCCTCAGGAAGGGAAAGGCAAAAAGGAAGAGCCGCGGCGGTGCTTTGCAACGGCAGCAGCGGCTCCTGGTTTTGCCTTTCCCTTCCCGAGGCAACGCGGGACTGGAGCCGCGTGGAGCTGCGCCAGTGGTAGCAACTCCTGACAGCCCCAGCCGGATACCTGAGCGGAGCCCGGGCGGTGCGAGCGGAGGCCGCTGAGTGGCAGGAAAAGGGAGCTGGGCCAGCCACAGACCAGCCTCCGTGTAACACGCCGCCGCCCGGCCCTGGCGAGGGAAGGCAGCGGGCGCTCCCCGGGCACGCGGCGGGGGGTCTCTTTTGGCCGGCCCCGATTTTTTTTTTCAGAGCGGAATATCATGCCTGTCTCCTGAAACCGCCAGGTTTGCCCTGTTCCACCAAGTGAGGATCCCCAGAAGGAACCTGCTGAGCCGCACAGGGGACGTCAATGCTGAAGGGAAATACACGAGCGCCTTCAAGGTAGGAGCTCTGCCTTTTGGGAGGGTTTGTGTTCCTTTAACCCCACCTCCATTCCTTTTCCCAAAAACAGTTCAAGGCGGGGGACAGGCCTAACCCCCCCTCCCCCCTCCTTCCCTTTTCCCCACAGCAACAACCCCGTGGAGTGGGGTGGGCTGACGGGGGGGGACTGGCCCAGAGTCACCACTACGGGCTAATGTGGGACTAGAACTCTCTGTCTCCTGGTTTCCAGCCTGGCGCCGTCCGCACTGGGCTGGATGGAGGCCCTTGACCATGTGGGCGCTGCCTTCCGCTCTCCCTGCTTCTTCCTCACGGGCTGTTTTTCGGCCGAGTGGGGACTGGATCTCGCCGTGTTCATCTCTTCCTCGCGGGACGGTTGTGTTTCCCCAGGATCACAAGCGGCGCTTGGGGGCTTCGCTGGGCACCTTGTCCAGCGGGAGAGTAATGATCATCGCCATGTCCGTGGCCAATCTGAAGCTGGCCGTCTCCATCGCCATTCGCTTCTCCGCCACCCGGCGCCAGTTCGGCCCAAGCGACGCCGAGGAGATTCCCGTCCTGGAGTACCAAATGCAGGTAAAGGCAGCAGCCCGGCTCAAGGGGAAGACTAGTTCTCACCAGGCGCAACGGATTTCGCGGTGCAGGTAGCCTCTGCCTCCTATCACTCAGGATGCCGTCACCCAGGTGGCCTGGGCAGTGGCAGCCCTCCATGGAGTCCCTGATTGCCGGGTGAAATTCCACAAGAAACGGCCCTACGGTGGCCGGTAAGTCTCCGCCCAAGAGTTCCCTGAAGGCAGCCACCCCCACCAGCACAAGCCAGCCAGCAGCAGAGGCAGGAGGCAGAGGCACGCGTCAAGCAAGGTGGAGTTTTTCCAAGGCCAGTGGAGGCCATGCCAAAGGCAAACAACTCTTCCTGAGGGAGACAGTTCCCCCCTCCCCTGCCACTCCGGCCTCTGCTGAAGCCAGCCCATGCCGGGTGGCCCTTGGGGGAGGGGCGGCGGCCTCATGGGGAGGCAGCACGCCCTCTTAGGAGAGCCGGGGATGGGCTGCCTTATGTGCCGTCCCCTTTCTGTAGCTGTGGTAACGTCGAATGGTCGTAAAGCAGAGCCTGTCGTTAAGCAAGGACTGCTTACGGCATCCTTTTGGCCAGCAGTCTTGCCTGGGGCTTTGCAAAGCTCCCGGCCCGGCCCTCCTGGGGAGCCCGTTCTGCTTTGGGAGCAGAGTGGACCGAGATCTCTTCTTCCCTCCGTGGCTGCTCCCTCCACGTTTGATTGGAAAAGACTCATTTGAAAGAGGACGCAAGTTCAGACTTGGAAGGGCCCCAGGCGGCCTTTGGTGGGGGGCAGGAGGAGCAGAAGGCGGGGGGTGTTGGGGGAGCCTGGGTGAGGGTTTCCGGAGTTGGGGTTCCCCCAAGAGCCCCGGGCGAGGGGCGTCCGCTGTGCGAGGGCATGCCCCCCCCCCCCCCCCCAGCGCCCGTCTCCCTCCCGTTGCAGCAGTGGCGCCTGCTGCCTTACCTGGCGGCCACCTACGCCCTGGACTACTTCTCCCGGGAGCTCTTCCTGCGGTTCATGGAGTTCCACATTGGGCTGCTGATGAAGGACAAGGGTACCCTGCAGGTGAGGCCCAGGCTCTGGGGTGGGGTCCCTGGGCGGGGAGGGCTGCGCCATGACCCGGGCGGGCCCCACTCCCTTTGGCGTGGCTCCGGTGGGAGCGGCCTTGGGTTCCTCCGGGACTGCGGGGATCCTCCTGTCCACTGGATGAAATGCCTCCCTCGCCACTTTGAAGGGGCAATTTTGGGTGGAAACCATTGGATGAATACAGGCAGTCCTCCACTTACAGCGGTTCATTTAGTGACTGCTCCTAAGTTATCACGGCAGTGAGAAAAAGGGACTTACGACTGTTTTCCACACTTGACAGCCATTGCGGCCTCCCCACAGCCACCCAATCAAAACTCTGGCGCTTGGCAACTGACCCGTACTTACGACGGTCGCCATGTCCCGGGGTCCCCTTCTTGCAACCGTCTGACAGGCAACGTCCCGGGGGGGGGGCGGATTCCCTGAACTGCTGAGGGGCAAACTTCACCTGCTACAAAGTGTCAATCCCTCAACAACGGTGGCAAGAAAGGTGGTAAAACGGGGTGCAATCCCCTTGACAAAATGTCTCACTTAGCGACAAAAATTTTGGACTCCGTTGTGGTCGTAAGTTGAGGACTGCCTGTACATTTATAATGGAACCTCTCAGGTTTACGGAATAGGGGTGGGTGTGTTGCAACAGTTTTTCTATTTTTGAATAAGTAGGCAGAGGGAGTCGGTGGGCCCCTGAGGGAGGCCGGAGGCTGCTGGGACGGTTTCCCTCTCGCCCAGTTCTGCCCTCCGGCCTGCCTTGCCCCAGCGAGAGAGGGAGTGGGGGGTGCCTGCCGGAGGGGAGGGGAGCTGGGGTGGTGACCGCTCTCTCCTCCCTCCCTCCCTCCCTCTCCCCTCAGGCCGAGCTGGGCCGCGAGATCCACGCCTTGTCCAGCTCGGGCAAGCCCCTCGCCTCCTGGCTCGCCCAGGAAGCCATCCAGGAATGCCGGGAAGCCTGCGGGGGACACGGCTACCTTGCCAGTAAGTGGGGCCGCTCTCCCCCAAGCCCCCTGCCAGCAGTCGGGGGGCTTAATCTCCACAAGAGGATCAAGGTGAAAAGAAGCAGGTAAAATCCTCGGCCCCCTTTGAGCCCAACATCCCGGTTGTCCAGGGAGCTGCTTGTTCAGTGAGTTTTGCCCCGTTTTGCGGCCTTCCTTGCCACGGTGCTGAGGGAAATGGCGGCAAGGGTCCGGCGAGTCACGCTGACTTGAGGAAATCCGGCCTCCCCATTGGGACGTTGCCTGTCAGGAGGGCTCAAAGGGGGATCACGTCATCCCAGGGACACGGCAACCGTCGTAACTATGAGACGGTTGCCAAGCGCCTGAGCTTTGTTCACGGGAGGGGAGGCTGCAACGCTCGTCAAGTGGGGGAAACGGCCATAAGCCCCTTGTTGTTCAGTGATGTGGCAGCTTTGAAGGGCCCCCAAGTGGACCGTGGTGAGGGGAGACCTCCTGTCGCTCGCTCCCTCTGGGCAGCTGCCTGCCTTCGACCGAGCCCCCTGCCCTTTGGGATCCAGGCTCCTGGGAGGCTGGGAAAGCGCCAGAGGCTGGCAGAAGGGGCCCCTCCAGTCTTCCCAGGGAAAGGGACCCCGGGGCCCTCCTGGGATGCTCCCCCCTCAGCACCAGAGAGTTGGGCACGCCCTGTGGGTCCACGTTTAGAACTCCCTCGACCTGCACAGGGGCTCTGGGGGCTTTTAAAGAGGCGGCAGCTCCTTCGTAATGTCCCTTGTGTGCGCTTCGTCCCCAGTGAATCGCCTGGGCGACATCCGTAACGACAATGACCCCAACTGCACCTACGAAGGAGACAACAACGTTTTGCTGCAGCAAACAAGCAACTACCTGCTGCGCTGGATGAGCGAGAGATCGCAAGGTGGGGTGGATGGAGAGGACTGGGGGTTGCCCTGCTCGGAGCTCAGCAGACGCAGAGAAGAGCCAGAGAGGCCGCGAGGACCTGGTTTTGGGTCTGATGTGTCTCTGGCGCTTTGCCTACAGGCCACCCTGTTTCGTCGCCTATGGGATCGGTTGATTTCTTAAACGATTACGATGCTATTCTCCGTCAGACCTTCGTCCTTCCGGATGCCCAGGACCTCATGGACTCCTCAGGTGGCTCTCTTTCCCCTTCTGGGGTGGGCTGCAGGGACCTCCTTCTGGGTCACGGAATGTTCCAGAGGAGACCCGCCTGCTCTGTGGTTCTTGCGCTGGTGGGCAGCTCCTCAGCTGTTGGGGCTGGAAGCGGCCTGGGCGGCCTGGCCCTCCTGAGCCAGGGGGCCGGTGGGAGGGCTAGAGGGGAGTCACCAGAAGGGCGGCTTGAAGACATTCGCAGTCTGGCTCCTGAAAGGAAGAGCCCCCATCTTGGTGCCTCGTGTGAACCTCTCAATGTTTGTGAAAATGGGCTCCTCTCCCTGGGATCTGTTGGTCTTTACAACCTGCACGCAAGGAGAAAGATTCCACTTGGTGGATATTATGGCCCTGGCTTCTGGCGATGCCCCTGAGGCCTCCGGGGATGTCTGTGACACGTATTGCTGCTCGCTCTGTCCCCGTTACCCCCCTTGAATTGCCCGACTGAACGCATAAAACAGCTGCCCTTCCTCCTCCAGCGTCCTTGAGGGCCTACAAGTGGCTGGTGTGTTACTTGCTCCGAGGAAGCATCCAGAAACTGAGGAAGCAGGAGGAAAGCGGCTGTGCTGAGTTTGAGGCCAAGAACAACAGCCAGGTAACTCCCGCTTCCAATTCCAGAGAGTTTCTTGGTTTTCCTTCAAGGCAGGGGAGCAGCCTCCGCTCACTTTAACCCCACGGAGACCCTTGGGGGGGCGAAGACGCAACTTGTTAGATTTGCATCTGCTCTTCCTCCTGAAGTACCCTTGGCCTTTTTTTCCAACAGGTGTATTATTGCCGTTCTCTAGCTATAGCTTTTATTGAGCATACGGTGTTGGAAAAGTACCACAAACACGTGCACAGTCCCAGCACACCAGTTAATCTCCAGCCGGTACTAAAGCATATTTGTTCGCTCTATGGACTCTGGTCTTTGAATAAGCACACGGCAATACTCTACCAAGGTGAGGTTGGCCTTAGGTCTTCTGGTGAGCTCCATGACCCATGAATACCTTTCTTGCAAAACACTTACAATTCACCTTATCTGCTAACCCGCTGAGAAATTAAAGTGCCCAAATTGCACCGTTTACTATCAGGGCGAAATACATTTCAGGCTTACCATTTCAGCCTCTGCGCTTTTGCATTTTAGATTTTGAGTCGTGCCTCTTTTTCTAGAGAGGAGTGGTGTGTTTCTCTTGTGTAACTTGAGTAAAGCATCAGGGCCAGGCGGGGTCTTAAGTAAAATCGGCAGACTGGCTTGCTACTTCCAAGCCTGGCTTGGTTGCTGCCGAATGCTCTGGATTCCCTTGTTAAGAGACACTGCTCCTCCGCAGGCCTCACACACACACACACACACACACACACACACCTACATACACACACACACATACATACCTACCTCAGCAGGCTACTAAGGAAGGCCATGCAGCACTTTGGATTCAGTATCCCCTCTCTCCCCCACCCTGAGGTGTTGGCGGGGCCAGGCAATTGTGGGAAGAGGAGCCAGTGTCTCTTGGATCTGCCTGTCCAGGCCCTTCCGCACTCGGAGGCTCCCTTTGCAAATCCCCAGGTGCTGCCTGTCTCTGGGCAGGAGTATTTCCTCCCCACTCCTTTTCAGTGGGACCCCTTTTCGCCCTCCTCCACACACAGGAGACAGTCCTGCCCTCCACCCAGGAAGAGCAGCTCCCTCCTGAATCCCCTCCTAACCCCTTTTCCTTCCTTCCTTCCTTCCTTCCTTCCTTCCTTCCTTCCTTCCTTC